TGGGAAGTTGTAAACACAAAATGCATGAATAAAAAACAACATCAATAGTCAAGAAGTGTGTACTCCAAAATGTGCACAGGACAATCAAGATGCTGGCCTCAGAGCTAAAAGAAGAGGCACATAAGATCCTTTTCAAGACATCTCTTCCATAAAGAATGGCAGGACAAGCAGCGGTCCAACCTGAAATACCTTCCAGAGAACACAGCACTGTGTATTATGGATTTTGCTGAGAACTACAAATCTGGCTATCAGGATGAGGTACAGTCAGCATACTGGACACAGAACTCAGCCACAGTCCATCCAACAGTTGCCTACTACCGATGTGAAGTATCTACTTGTACAGAGCTTGTAACAGAGTCACTTGTGTTTGTCACCAATGACTTAACACATGACTCTCATGCTGTGAATGTATTCAACAAAGAGGCTATCAATCACCTGAAATTGAGAATTCCAAATCTCAGCAAGTTGTTCAGGTTCTCAGATGGCTGTGGTCAAAAGTACAAATCAAAAGGCCCAATTTCTGACATAAGTTACGCTCTCAAGGATTTCGGTCTACCCATTGAACACAGAGCTATTCTGGGTCTTGACACGGCAAAGGTGCCAGTGATGGTGAGAGTGCGGTTGTAAAAAGTAGTGCCACTACAGCAGTCAAAGCAGGCAAAACTATTATCAGTAATGCCCAGGAGCTCTTTGGGTTTTGTGAAGAAAACCTTGACAAGCAACCAACCTTCAACCAGAAGGAGTGCTGTCATCATCAGCAGACAATGTTCTGTATACCAGTTGAAACTATAGAACGTCCCTGTGAGAAGCATATCGTAAAAAGAGTTCAGGTAACAATGTCTTTGCACTGCATGAAAGCAGTAGAGAAAGGAGTGGTTGCCACAAGAAACCTGTCTTGCTTCTGTGCCTCCTGCCTGCATGGTCATGAAATATGTGCAAATAAAACTAATACGTCAACAACTGGAATAAGGTTCACCTTGGAAAAAAAGAGGTAAACTCTTTCTTTGTAATTTTTTTTTTATTTCAAATTTAGCAATATAAAAGTGTTGAACGCACTGAAGGATTTGAAGTGGGACAGTATGAAGTCATAAGGATAAAGAAAAAAGGTAGGTTTACAAATGATGGGCATTTTCAGTTGTGTAAACAACACCACATACATGTATTTAATTGAAAACATTTATTTACATGTACATGGGAAACATTAACATATCCAACCCAGCTTTGGGAAAGAATGAAAATGGGCAAAACAAGCAACTTTTCCTAATGTTGGCATAATGAACGGTTTGTCATTACAGAGCAATACCCAAGCAAGGAGACTATGTGGTTGTTGTGTTGTCTCACAAAAAGCAGAAAGGAATACCTCAAGCCATCTACATTGCTTCAGTAAGTACAATTACAATGTGTTCAATGCTTATTTGATAAAACCTTTAACAACAGAATTGTTAAATTACCTTCAGCCAGAAAGTGATGTTGGAAAGTGTTTTACTGGCTTTATGTGTTTTGCAGGCTGGGATTTCAACACATTTACTTATGAGACTTATTTATTTATTTCACAAGTTGTAAAGAAGAATGCTGACTGTGTTCAGCTGAAGTTTACAGAGCAAGTGAATGAATGTTCATTTACCTGGCCAGATGGAGCCAAGGGTGATCAAATATTCACTCATCCAAGCAGTGATATTCTTTGTGTGCTTCAACCTCCAGGCCTCGAAATGAAAGGTTGCACATTACAGTCTGTGTTTTTTGCAGAGGACATCAGGAAAATAACAAACTGTGTTAAAAACCTTACCTAAAGATACACAATATTAATCATTGCTTAAATGGGAACCCTGGATTAACATTGTCCTTTGAACTTCATGAATTACCTTGATATAGTTCAGGACCCTTGAATATCTTTATGGAGAACAAAGAAAAAACATTTGAGGCTTACTGTTTTTCTTGTTACATT